CCAAGAGCTGTGACTGCATCAACACCTCTGCTAGCTCACTGATGTAGATATTGAACAGTGTTGGGCCCTCACTAAAGCCTTGTCTCAATCCCACAACCCTGAGGTAGGAATTCTGTTCTTTTCGATTTTCCACTGCGCGCTTGTTTTCCAATTGATTTACTGACGTTGTAGACTTTACCCACTACGCTCTCTCTTTCTTTCTGGTCTTCATGCCCCCTCTCTGCACAACCAGGCAGACACACAAACAGAATGCCACATCTTTCTGTCCATTGTGTTAAGGGCTTGTTTGTGAGAGAATGAAGCACATGCTCTTTTAACAGAGTAGCCTGTATTGCAGTTAAACGCCCCGTCAGCAGTCACTCACCCCGGTGTACAGAAATGTGTACAGTGTTCTAGCAGACAAGAGAGCACATGACATCCCTCCAGATGGGATACTGGTCTTTCATAGGGATTACATTCCGAAAGCTGGTTCCCGCTTATACAGCTGGGTGGAGTGGAGGAACTGGGGTAAAGAGTCTCCCTCAAGGGTACAACAGTAGGGGAACTATAATCCACCAGTTATGAGACCAGAGACTAACCCACTACTTTATGCTGCCCCCCTGCAGTCTGGTAATACACACCGTATTTGCTACATTTACAGCTCTTGTATCTGCTGTTAAACCATGCAGGACACAGGACATGGAAACATGGATTTGTGTAATAAACACCTCCTCATTCACACCACCAGCCAGCCTAACCAGATGTCACAAGACATGATGTGCATCAAATACACTTTGTTCTGTTCTTTTGGTTGCTGCATGTTATGTGAGGTTTGTGGGGATGCATGGCATTTTAGTGAATTGAATAGAAGGCTTATATGCATTTTATATTTCACAAAAATAAACTAAAATGGCTTCAGGGTTAGATAAGGAATTTTTTAAGCTCTCATTTAAATGAGTTATTTTGTCACACTTTATCGCTGTCCTGTATTGTTTAATGTCAATAGAGATTCCTTGCATTTTGCAGCCCTTTGAGGTGGTGCTGACCACCACTGAAATATGAAAGTGATGAAGTGACTGATTAAATATGAACTGAAGAGTACACGGTCGTAGCAGCTAGTTTCTTTCCAGATGTTAGGAAGTCTATTTTTATCTGCTAAAAATCTCGTGCCCGATACATACAAAGAGCAGTTTTACAGAGGAGGTGAAAAAAAGAGCCCCAAAGAACCCTGGGAATGTGTGTGTGCCCGACCAATCCAGGCTCGGCCCATCTTTTGGAGGTGAGAGGAGAGCCCCACAGAACCCAGGCAGGGTGCTTGGCTTGCCCTTCCAGATTTCCCCTCTCTACTGGGAGAAGTCGTAGTCATAGCCTTGTGGGCAGTTAAACCATATTTGTTGTTGAATCCTGGGTGAATATAGTTATATCACCTCACTGGCTGGGTCCAGGAAGAATGGCACCATAATATCTGGACTGGAAATAATAACAACACTTTATTAACCCTATACAATTTCTTGCATTAGGAATTAATCTTTTCGCGTACCCCTGCTTACTCTCCGTGAGACACGCAGACCCACAGACTGTGAGAGAGCCTGGGGTCAGAGTGCCGGGTCAGCCAATGAGATAAGGAAATCCTTAAACCTCTCATATCTAGCTAGCTGTGTCTGGAAAAACCACAAAGGTAGAAGTATTTCTTACAGTGGCGATAAAAATATTCACCCCCCTCCCTTTAGCATTTTTCAGCAGCCATATCACCCTGCAACTCACAACTGGCAACCCACTGAAGCTAAGCAGGTGTGAGCCTGGTCAGTACCTGGATATGAGACCTCCTGGGAAAAACTAAGGTTGCTGCTGAAAGAGGTGTTAGTGGGGCCAGCAGGGGGCGCTCACCCTGCAGTCCATGTGGGTCCTAATGCCCCAGTATAGTGACGGGGACACTATACTGTAAAATGACATCCTTTGGATGAGACATAAAACCGAGGTCCTGACTCTCTGTGGTCATTAAAAATCCCAGGGCGTTTCTCGAAAAGAGTAGGGGTGTAACCCCAGTGTCCTGGCCAAATTTCCCATTGGCCCTTACCAATCATGGCCTCCTAATAATCCCCCTCTATGAATTGACTACATTACTGTGCTCTCCTCCCCACTGATAGCTGATGTGTGGTGAGCGTTCTGGCGCACTATGGCTGCCGTCGCATCATCCAGGTGGATGCTGCACATTGGTGGTGGAGGGGCGTCCCCATTACCTGTAAAGCGCTTTGAGTGGAGTGTCCCGAAAAGCGCTATATAAGTGTAAGAAATTATTATTATTATTATTTTTTTTTCAAACTGCATTTTCTTGCCTCATCAAAATGGATCTTAGGATCTTTTTCTTAATTAGGGAAAGCTTTGGGTTTGTTTTTTAATTGACATTACAGAGTGTTTTGTGTAGAGTTCAGTGGCAAGAATTCCTGAACAAATCTAATTTGATTCCATGATGAAAGGAAAAGAAAAGTGAAAAATGCGAAAGGAATACTTTTTATGTCCACTGTATTTATACTTTATTGGTTCAAGGTTTCTTTATGTAAGGAAATGAGGACATTAGAAAACATAGGAATTCTGAGCCACCCATTCTGTAATTGTACTCAACCCCCATGTCTGACTGGTACTCACTCCTGCCGGAATTTCAGCCTCTCTGTAGCTGAGGACCTGGAAACAGTGGTAACTCACACAAATCGAAAGTCAGGGCTTTACGTGAGACTCGGTTACCTGACTCAGAGCTCTGGCAGACGGAACACCTGCAGGCTCGTTGGCTCTCGCCGTGCATCAGTGTAATGGAGTACCGCTGCTGGCGTGGGCTCGTTGCACCCAGCTGATGCTGGAAATAGGTGCCCGTGCAGCGTCTGATTACATCAACATTTAGCCAAACCGCGCAGGAGGACTGTAGCTCCTGACATCGCACGGCAGTGTGCGTTTTGGGCGGGGGGAGCTGTCCTGAGGACGTACTATTAAATTTCCAACCAAATATAAACCCGCAAGTTATTTTGGGGTGTTTATTTTTGCCGACTGCCGCTGCACAGCAGTGGAGATTCCCTCTTTGCAGGAGCATACTGATCCCAGACTATCCTTTCTCTATGAATTACAAGCAGCTTTAATAATTGATGAGCTGCTTTGAGATAACGCCCTCTACTATTTCTGAAGGGTGCCACAAAGAGCAGCAAAAGAGAAGACAGGCGTAGGGGCAGAGTTAATTTAGCAAGGTGGAAAAGGCGGCAACAAGGGACTGTTATTTCCCTGTACTGCAGTAATATCTCGTTGCTGGAATTCTGTGCAGCAGGGCTCCTCGGAAGTCAAACATTAATGAAAGCAGACTCTCTGGTTTCCCTCTTCAGTTCCACTTCCGGGCTGTGCAGATGAAGCTCTCCTCCTTGGTAGACAGGCAGGAAGCTGGGCCCTTCAGCCCCTCAGTCGCTCAGAGCGGGCACACACCTCGGGGCTGATCTGTACATGGCGATATCGCTGCGGCCCTGCAACAGAACAGAAGTAGAGTCGAGAGTAGAGTAGAGTTTATTGTCATATAAACTGTATACACCTACACAAAGACATCAAGAAAACACCAAAAACACAGAACAATGGCAGCAACAACAAGTTAAATAACATACATCCTCGAGGAAAAAAAAACATCAGTGTGAGCCAGTAGGTAGGGGTAGAGTTCAGTAATCTGACAGTTAAAGGACAGAAGCTGTCTCTGAGTCTGGACGTTCGTGCCTTTATGCTCCTATAATGTTTACCAGAGGGTAGGGGGGAGAAAAGCAAGGAACCAGGATGACTGGTGCCCTTGACAATACTTCCAGCCTTCCTGAGGTAGTGAGTTGTAAAAATGTCCACAACAGAGGGGAGCTGTACTCCAGTGATGGACTGGGCTGACCTGTCCGGCCCTTGTAATGCCTTCCGGTCAGACAATGAGCTGCTGCCAAAACACACTGTAATACCACATGTGAGCACACTCTCAATAGCGCACCCGTAAAGTGTGGTAAGGACTTTTAAAGACAGCCCACATTTTTTCAGTTGTCTGAGGAAGTAAAGGCTCTGTTGTGCCTTCTTTGTAGCTCCAGTTACATCCTGGGAGCACGTTAACTCGTTAGCGATGAAGGTTCTTAGGAACTTGAAGCTGCTAACCATCTCAACAGCCACCCCATTGATGTGAACAGGGTGTGGTCCCCACCCTGCTTTCTAAAATCAATGACTAGCTCTTTGGTTTTACTGACATTGAGGGAGAGGTTATTGTCAAGGCACCATTCCACCAGGTTCTTGACATAAGACAATGTACATGTGAGAGGAAGCCATTTGGCACTTAGTAGCATATCGATCTGAGGATCTCCTCCCGTCGTTTCTTGAAAGAAGCCAGGGCATCAACAGCATGGTCTGGTAGCTTGTGCCATACACAAAGGATTGTGGGAGTAAAAACCTGTCCCTTGTTCTCAGTTTTAAGTGGATTTCCAGCTAGTTTCTGCTTGTGTCCTCTGGTTTGTGTTTCACTGTTATTTCTGAAGAAATCTGCTTGATTGATTTCGTCTGTGCCCTTAAGCATTTTGAATATTTGGGGAAAAAGTCCCCTCGTAGTTTACTCTGTTGGACACTAAAAAAAGTTCAGTTGTCCCCGGTGTGTATTATTTTTACAGTTGTCTGGAGAATGGAATCAAAACCCACCATTTCTCTTTTTGGATTCTTGGTAGTACTGGCAGTAGCTGCAGTCATGCTTACTGTGTTAGGATTTGCAGTTTTTATTTTTTTCATGGGAGGAGAAGTACAATTTTTAGTCTCCCACAGATCTATGAGGGCGTGATCCAAGTATTCAAAAGGTACTTTTTTTACACAGAGTTGTGAAAGTATGGAACAAGCTATCCAGTCATGTTTTTAAAACCACCATCTTATCTCACTCCTCTCCTTCGCTCTCGTTAATATTTCTACTTTATGCAAAGGGTTTTAGAGAATGAAACAAGCTACCTATTCATGTTTTTAAAGTCAGTACTCTGCTTTCTTTCAAGAAACAACTGGATTGGATCCACAGCTCCGTTATCTACTACCTGCAAAACAGTGAAGACGGACCTCCTCTCATTGGTAAACTTTGTAATCTTAAGTAGGTTTTTCCACTTTGAGCTTCGGGGTTTCAACTGGGGAAAACAAAATTCAACCTTTAAAGATATTTTTTCAGTTCTTACTTGACAAATGTCAGTAGCTTTCCAGCTGTGCCGGCAATAATCCAAGAGTCTTGCTCCATATCTTAGGCTGGCAATCTATTAGCAGTTGTTTCCAAGTGTAAGCCCTCTTTAAACTGAGCAAGTCTGTGAGCCTCCTTGTGCTTTGTTCTTCACTTCAGGACCAAAGCCTTTTGTAAGTAGCCCCGCTGTTTCGTAGTTGTGTCCTGGTCTTTGTAAGCTGCTATTAAATGCTGGAAAACAGAGATAGGTCTGGCTTTAATGTACAACAGAATGATCACTCAGCTTTTATTTTCTGTAGGTTCTTTTATTTGCATGGCATTGCAGAAGCAGTTTGTAAAAGGAATTCAGTAATGTAAAATATACCATACTATGTAGTTTAATGTATACCAGAATAAGCCAATGGAATGTTTACTACAGAAACTAGAAAACTGAGCCTTTTGTTTTCATCTTCAGTCATTTTCTCTGCTCTGTGGTGTAATGTCAGTCTGTCCTTCCAAGTATGCTTTGAGTCCTTGTGTCGTTCACTGGCGATCTTTGCAGAGTCCTGTGCGAGTGCTGTTTCAGTCTTTTTGCAGTTCTCTCCATCAGTTTTACGATCTGGCTTTCTTTACCTTTTAATTAGTATAACTCATAGAAGCAGATGTGTCTTCTGCTGTGTGATCACTCTCTTCCACTTCTATCTTTCAGTCCTTTTTCTTCCACTTATATCTTTCAGTCTTAGAGCACAGAATAATACTGTCTGTTATCTCCACCCAGTCTTCTCTGGTTTCATCCCAGATCACTATCTTAACAGCCAGGAGTATTGCCATTGAAGTTCTTACTGTATGTTTTATTCTCTAAATATTACATATGTCTGACATTCATCACACCCCACCTGATAAGAAGAACTTTATTTATGTTAATAAGGTTTTATTTTGTTTAAAACGTAGTCAGCAACTACATTTATCTGACTTCAGTTATAGCCCTGTCAGTGCTCTGTTGCTGGCGTGACAGACACAGCTTATATACACAGTAGAGAATTATGTGAATAAATGCCCAAGTTTGGGAAGAACCTGCATTGGTCATGGATCCTTATCCAGCACTGGAGAAATATGAGAGCAAATATTGCTTGCAATAACAGCTTTTTAGGTCAGGGGTCTGTTTTATCTGTGTCAAGATTCTGTACATCAGCTCTGTGCTGAGAGTTCAGTAGAGATTGCTCATGCGGTGCTGGTGTAAGAGAGAGAGCTGTGTGTGGACTGTATTCGCCTGGCACAGCCTATCTCCTGACATCCACCCATCCACAGAGCGCAGGTGGGGGGTTAAAGCTGGGCTTGACGAATGATCTCACTGTGGTTATAAAGCCCTGCGTGAGCCAGACATTATTCCAGCAGTGGAGCAGCTCTTCGTGTGGTTTGAAAGGTGGAGCCCCATGGCTTCCCTCCACGATGCCTGGCAGTCGTCAGGCGCCAGCACCTCAATGAGCCCGATGTGTTCTTGCAGTGGTCCTTGAACGTGTGTTTCAGGGCTTTCCTTTTGAAAGTTTTTCCAGAATATGGCTTCCAAAGTGGCACGACAGACCCACAACTCTTTCTGGACTCCTGTTTGCTCCTTCCTACCCCATGATAGAAGAGCTGATTAACAGTTGGCTATTTCACCCTGCAGTGTATAGAAATCAGCCATGATTTCTGATTCCAAATGTAAAAGTGGCAGTTTTTTAACTCCAAGCCAAAGTGTTCTTCACTTTCTTCAAATAAACAACCTGCGTTTCCAATATGAATTGAAAAGCAAACCCAAACCTTTCCATTCCTTCTTCGTCTTTTGCCGTATTGGTATCTTCATATTGTTAGTTTTGACTTTCAGACAGGTGGGAAGCAACTTTTCTCTGAGGAAGAGATTTATCCTACGATTTTAAGGGCTTTCAAACTGAAGCAGGAAGGAGGGAGGGAGTTACTGCTGAGACAAGATTTGTGAGAAGCAAGTTCAGTTTTGCTTATGTCTTGTCGGTCAGGTTTGTAGTCTGTTCGTCTGTTTGTTTTCTAAAATAAGAGAGTGAGAGAAGCTCTTTCTTTTTCTCTTTCTGCAGGCTGGCTGGGGGATGATCCAGGGTTGCGCTTCTGAAGAGGGTGCACTGGGCCTGAGGCCTGACTCGGACAGTTGGCGGCGTGCAGCTGAGCGTGGGCATGACGAAAGAGTGGGCAGAGGAGAGCAGCTGTAGGACACCTCTCACACTGCAGAAACTTACACACACATACTGAGGACTGGAACCCGCAGTCCCCCGTACCCCTGCTTTGGAACCAGGGTTTTTTTTCTTGTAAAAATTTGAAAACGTTTTTCAAATGAGGCGCAGAGAAGAGATTGACCGAGCCACGCAGTCAGTGTGGCCTGTATAACTGAGGCCATCTTCATCACCCGCATCATAACTGCATCTTCCTCTTGCACAGCTCTGCCGCTGTCAGCCCAATGGGCAGGTGTGTCCAGGGCACAGTCCTGACACACTGTTGCTTTCGCACGGCGTTCCTGCTACATCCAGACCGGCAGTCAGACAACATTCACACTGAAAGAGCAGCAGGATAGTGTGTGTTGAGTGGCAAACTTTTAAATAATTTTCTTAAAAAGATTATCTTGCAACAAAAATTGATGTGTCGCCTTCAGAAGGTTCCCAGCTTCTTTTGAGTGCTTTTAATCAGTAATTGGGTTTTTAATGTTATTTAATTTTGAGTAGACCAGGGGTTCATTGCAATACTGCAGGCCTCCTCTGTGTTAAGGACGGGGCTGTAGGGTTGCGCATCTCCATTCGCTCCACAGCCCCTTTTCCGCTGGACTTATTTTGGAATCTCCCTTCATTTGGGGATGTTGAACCCCCATTTTACCTTCTTTTGTTTTTGACCTGTGGCGCGAAGCCTGTATCTTGGGAAGTACAGCAGAGGCAGGCCAGTCGGGGTGTGACTTGCCCTTGAGGATAGGTCGCATCCCTGCACGCACCGCTACATTCCCGCCGCTTTCGGATAAGATGCGCGGCGAGCCCCGCGCCGGGCGCAGGCCAGCCGGCTCGTTCTGAGGGATGCCCACTCCGTGAGCGACCCGCACCGCGGACAGAGAGGATGGCGGAGCACGCGGAGCTGCTGGCGGAGATGGCCTCCGTCAGCCGCATGACCACGACGGAGCGGCTCAAGCACGCGCAGAAGCGGCGCGCGCAGCAGCTGAAGGGGTGGGCGCAGCTCGAGAAGGAGGGGCCCCGGAGCCACAGGGGGGGCAAGGGTGGGGCGGGGCCGAAGAAAGGCCGCAGGGTGGTCTTCCCCCACAACATCACCCTGCTGGAGGCCGCGGCGCGCAACGACCTGGAGGAAGGTGGGTCTCTGACGCCGAAGCGTTTGTCAGAACAGGTGGATCATCAGTTTGTACAGCACACACCCACTCTACATTCCCAAGTGACACATGCAGCCATCGCCTAAGAAGCTTTGTCTATCTTTGGGCCTGAGATAACTCTAGCCCTGGATTAGTGCTAGAACCACTCTTTGGGAACCACTCTAGCCCTGGATTAGTGCGTGAGCTGTAGTATTTCGGTTACGTTTCTCCATCTGGGCATAGGCTGACTCTGCACAATTTCACCTAATATGTTCACCCTAAATGCACTTTAGGCAAGTGTTTTGTCGTTCTTGTTGCTAAATGGTTTGTTTAAAATAACTTTACACATTAAATTGCTCACTTCTAAAATGAATGCATGTGTGAAGAATGCAATCTAGGTTAATTTTTTTTATTATATTTTTTATTTAATTGGACTTTTATTTTTTAGTTTATTAGGTTACTTCTATGCCTTTAAATGGCATTAAATCAAGAATATTTTTCTGGCAGCTGTAATTGATTTAATCTCCCCGTTGTTTGAATCTGTTATTGTAATTCTTTGGTGAAATATATGCCTTTGAAAAGTACAGGATGCAGTCTTCACTATTTTATACAACTCACTTACCATAAAAAAAATGTCCATTCAATTCATACCTGAAGAAAATGAGTATGCTTATTTTCACAGCTGGTAAAAGGTTCACATATAGTACTCTGAATCCAGGGTGAAGACTATATTGGCAAACTCTCCTTTATCATCTCTGTTTCACATTTGGTTTCAAGAACATGAGAAAGGTTACAAATGAGAGGAGGCCATTTGGCCCAATTAGGATGTTGGGTAGTTAATTCTTTGATCCGAGAATTGTATCTGTTGTTTCTTGAAGGGAGCAAGGTATCGTCTTACTTGGTAACTTCTTTCATTCTCCCACAATCTTTTAAGAAAAAGTGTCTTCTGTTCTCGCTTGCAAATGCTCTTCCATGTATTTCACTAGTTCAAGTGGGTAGCTGTGTCAGCATGCATAGGCTGCAAAGGAACAAGTAATAGGTTTATTCCATGCTGAAAAGAGAAGAAGGAAAACACAACGTTTCGGCTGTGGAGTGCTCATACCCGAAGAAGGCTAATACACCTATTACTTGTTCCCATGTATTTCACTGTTAATTTGGAAGATGTTGACAGGATTGACTTTGTCAGTGCCCTTGAGGATTTTGAATAGTTTGTACCAGGTCCCCTCAGTTGTCTGTTTTTGAGGCTATAAGGGTTCACATCTTTTAGCCTTTCAGTGTAAGATATTCCTTTAAGCCCTGTAATGTATCTTGTTGCTTTTCTTTGGATTAATTCCAGAGCAGCAATATCTTTTCTATAATGACCTAACTAAATTTGTACACTATTCTAAATCAAGCCTTTTAGTGATTTCTAGAATTTGAAATTAAAATGTATTTAAATATTGGTTTAAACTATATACTGTATTTTGTAACATTTATCTTTCTATTTTTTAAGACAAAAGATGTAAAGGTAAATAAAGTGTAACCTCGGCTAAGTCTTTTTCATAGTGAGGATCTTCAAGCTTCCCACTTTAGTTCCCACTTTATCTTTAAAGTTTGTTTTTGATGCTTACAAGTAACCTTTGTGCTCTTGTCTACATTATATGTCATCTTACAGTTGTGTGGTCACTTGTGAGTGTTGTCTATTTTTTACTTAATCTGCTGCTTCTATAGCATTTGCTAATTTCTCCTCTTTTGAGGTCTTCTTTTAACTGCTAACTTTAATTTTCCAAACAGTCTAGCTGAGCCTTCTCTTTTTGTGATGTTTCTCATGGTCTAATGTTTTTATATAATCAACAATGTGACTAGTCTAATAACTACAACATAATCTAGATCATTGCTATGAATTAGGAAGAGCAGTAGACCTAATAGGCATCCCTGTGGTACTCCACTAATTACATACCCCAGTTTGAGCATTCTCCCCTTCTCTGTTCTCTCTGCTTTCTAAGTCCAAACATGTGCATTTCTTTGAGAGCCTACTCACCTGTAATTTGATGATTCATCTTTTATGAAGAACATTATAGACAGCCTTTTGAAAATCTAAATACACAGTATCATATTCTCTGTATCCGCCCATTGCTGTTGTTGCTTGTTTAAAGAGTTCTCAACAAGTTAAGCAAAGTCCGCTTTTTTTAAATCCACTAGGATTTTATTTCCATATAACTAATGCTGTAATTTAGATTTAATTATTGTTTCCATAACCGTACACATAACAGATGTCAAACTTACTGTTCTGTAGTTACTTAGTTCAGTTTTGTCAGACGTTTTACAGATGGACACTACGCTAGCAGTTTTACAGCACACAGGTATTAACCCCTCTCTTGTGAAACATTCAGAAGAGTTGTGTCAGTGGCTCATGAACAATGTTTCTTGGTTCTTTAAGTGCAATTGGTAATATACCAATACCTGAAGCATTTGTGCCTCTTCTTTGCTTTTTCCAAGAAATGACATCTAATTGTCTTGCCATTTTCATTCTATAACAAAACCTAACCTTGACCCAGGGAAAATGAGGAAATGAGGGTTTTGTCAAAGGGGGTGTAGCTGTGTTACCTTTTCTGAGGGAGGTGTATGCTAAATTAAATCCTTTGAATAGTCTGGGTAGAAGGAAGGTGATCTGTGGTGCTGTTCATCCTGCTGCATTCTGGATCAGTCAGATTTATGGCCTGGCCATTGAAAAAACTTGGTTCCTCACATTCATTATTTAATATTTTAATGTTAAATATAAATGTCATTTAAAATATTGTTAACAGGGTTCACTGTTCCCATATCATAACCTTCCATCTCAAAATCATTTTGGAAAAGTGTTTGCTGTCCCAAATTGCCCAAGATGTTTGACCCTAGTGCTTGCCCTATTTATAAACCTTAAAGACAGTCCCTCACTCAAGCCTCGATTTTCACCCCACCTTCAACTATAATTCAAACATTCAGCCCTTGCACTTACCACATCCCTAAGCCTAACCTTAGCCCAAACATTAAACCTACATCAAATAGGACTTTCAGACCTCGACCAAATACTGTACATGCCCAGGTCCTAATCTAGCCCTTACAACTCATCTCTGTCATCACCTTTCTTCTCTGCTATATCTTTTGTACTAAACAAACCTTACGTCCAGGACCTACCCCAGTTAAAACCATAATTCAAACATTCCAGTCCCATCCCCTTCCCTGTTACGCACAGCCAAACTAGTGTTTGTCCCCTAACTCAAACACTGAGGATTAGCCAATACCTTTATATTTACATTCCTTTATACAGATGCCTTTTGAGTTTTTACCACAAACACAAAGAGTTTTTTCAGTAGGCAATTGCCCAGTAGGGGTTAGCAGAACAGGAAATGTGATCAAATGGTATACTGTAAACATGACATGGGCTGAGAGTAATTCAGAGGTGATTTAGAGGGGTCTGACTAAACTATATTTCTGTCCAACACTTCAAGTTGTCTGATAAGCTGCTCTATAGAAAGGTTTTTAAAAGAGTGATCAAATACTATAACCAATGAGAGATCACCAACTTAATATCCCCCTACTAATATAAATAAAGTCCAGTAATGACAGTTGTTAATTTGCAGTAAAACAAAACCAATACCAATGACACTGAAGTTATGCAATGGTAAAGCTCACAATGTTAGTATTTCTGAAGTCATAAATTCTTTATGGGATTCGCAGCAGTACATGAGTAAATGAGCATGTGAATAGATCACATCCAGCCCTACAGTCCATTGTTTAGTGGAGTAACCCAGAGTTACACCAACAGGATAGGACTTCTCTAAACCCACCATTCATCCATCTATCCACCCATCCATTTTCTAACTATTTAATCCAATTTAGGGTTGTGGGGGAGCCAAAGCCTATCCTACCAAGCAATGGGCACAACTCAGACACAAAGACATGCGCACACACACTCACACCAGGAATAGATTTCCCAGAAGCCAATTAAACTTTTCAGTAAGTCTTTGGATTGTGGGAGGAAACCAGAGCACCCAGAGGAAACCCATGCAAAAGAAGGAGAGCATACAAACTCCATGCGGGTAACACCTCAGAAATTGAACCCAAGGCCCCAGTTAACCAGTTAACCACCAGTTAACCACTGTGTGACCATGCCACCCCATAAACTCCCCAATATCTATTGAATACTTTCACTTGCTTGACAGGGCCTCAAAATGGTTGAAACTGATACAGCAGTTTTCCAACATTTTATATTCTAAAGCTCAGTTTTAAACAGCTGAGCAGGCCTTGAACTTACTGAATGATTCACTGGACATGACCTGTATGTGCCCATCTGTTCAGTGTAAGAAAGGAAAACATTTCTCTATTGCACTCATCCAATAACACACGTTTTTTCCATCTCTAAAGTAACGAAAATAGGGAATGATGAACTTTTCCGGGTGGGACTACCATCGGACCAGGGAAGGGGTTAACAGCTCTGGGCCCGGATGTGCTGTGACTGCAGGAGTGGCAGTGTCCTGCTCTGTGGTTTATTGCAGCACATTCCAAGTGAGGGATTCACGGGCATGTGGGCAGCTCCACCCTGCTCTCTGCAGCTGTCTCACATGAACAGAAACACAGGCACCAGCCCCATTCTTAACATGGCCTCTGGAAGAGAGAGAAAGAGGGGCTCAGAGACAGATGTGGTAGACCAAAGAGCCTCTTCATATTTCAGGCGTAATACATTAACCATTTGTTTTTTTCTGTTTCTTATGATCATTTTTGTAATAAATCTTAATATTCCATTTTCATATGCCTTAACTTGGAAGAATGTTTCTCCCACTTCATCCAGATGATAGTCTCCAGTTAACCATGTGGACAGGACAGGTGTATTACAGACAGCAGCACGTGGCTCTCAGATTGACTATACTAGGACTCCCTGTAGTGTCCCCATGTGTCTGCCTTGCATTCATTCATGTTTCTTGTTCTCTGAACTTGCTGTTCTAGCCTGGCAGGTCTTGTGTTCATCTGCAGCTTGTTTTGTGTTTTGTGTAGTTGCATATCATTTGAAATGTAGCAAAACTAGTTTCTGATTAATTTGGTTGTACCTGCGTTTCTAAACTATGAAATGCGGGTAACAAAGAGCAGTCTAAAGCACTGTGGGATGTGATTAGTGTTTAGAAATAGAGCAGGTGGCATTAAGATAAACAATTCAAGTGCTTAACTCCACAGCTTTGCCATATTAAATTGAGCCCTCAAGGGAGATAGGTGTTGTCTAATTTTCTGAAACCATTTCCCTACATCTAGTAGTGTCTGCACCACGCGCAGATGATCAAGGCCATCTGATGTACCACACTGCTGTGCATGTTTGGCTTTATATCTGTATCAGGATGTCTCAATTCAGTGTATCAGGACTCTGTTTGTCACTAGTTCTGTGAGGGTGAGGGTGCTAGGACCAGGAGAGTGTAAGGTTCTTTTTGGCTGTGTGAATTTCAAGGAGAATTTTTGACTTGGGTAGCACAAGTTAATCTCTCTCTATCATTCCATCTTCCACCTGCTGTTCTTTTTCGTCTCTCACTCCCCCTTTGCTTCTCTCTCTCCACAGTGACCGAGCTCTTGAACAGCGGGGTTAGTCCAGACCTGTTCAATGAGGATGGGCTGACAGCTCTGCATCAGGTATGAACTTGTCCACCAATGAGCCTCTCATGATGGTTCAGCATGTGTATGGATGTGTACATGTCTGTGTGTCTCTCATAGTTCGGTGTGCCAAGACTTCTTACTGCGACTCAGTGTTCAAGTTTCAGTGTGTCGCTTTGTCTCGGTGCATCTAGGTGTGACACTAAATCCAGTCTTTCAATTTGTCATTGTCTTGGCATGTCTCTGTCTCTGCAGTGCTGTATTGATGATTTTGAAGAGGTAGTATGTGCTCTCTTGGCTGCGGGTGCAAATGTGAACGCCTGTGACAGTGAACTGTGGACCCCACTGCACGCAGCTGCCACCTGTGGACACACCAGTCTCGTGGAGTTGCTCATCAAGCAGTGAGCCTGATCTCCTTTGTACTGACTCTGCACACTCTGTACACACACTCACACACTGCTCATCAAGCAGTGAGCCTGATCTCCACTGTACTGACGCTGCACACTCTGTACA